TTACTTTTTTGGAAAGAGTAGAAATCTCACTTTCACACAGCTCAGCATGTTTGCTGACAACCAAACAGCATCTGAGCACAGACTGAGCAGATAAGATGGCCTAGTCAAAGTCTGGAACTCAACCAGCTTCAGATATTCAGCTGCAAACTTTAAACTTTTAATTTTGTTGTTGTTTTTTTCAGGTTGCATCTGGATCCTTGTGAATCATGTCCTCAAACGTCAAACTCTGCCTTTGAAAGAGCTTCTGTTGCCATGACAGCATGACTAAAACCAAACACTGTTATCTAACCTTCAGTCAAACCACTTCCTCCTGCTTCTGGTTTATCCGCTCGTTCAAAGGTTGACAGAACTTTCTTTTCTAGAATCTGTTTTCCATCCCGCCTGCTGAATGTGAGGCAGTCCAGCAGTGATGGATGCCATCTTAGCCAAGTGCTGACTTCCACGTTCTGCTGCTGTCATCAGTTCTGAGGATGAGGCCGAACGCAGGCATCCTCATCTAGACGGAGATGACGCAGCTGCTGCTATAATTAAAACAGAAGCTTTTCTGAGTTTCTCCTGAGTCTGAAGTCAGCAGGTAGACGTGCTAAAAATAAGCGCCCCCCCCAGAAACCAGCAGCCCCAACCCGTCTGCTGGGCAGCAGAGGGCTTAAGCTCCTAAAATTCATCCCAAACGTGGCAGGAATAAACCGGCTGACAGGATGGAGCATTTCTGATATCCAGCAAAGGATTAAAGGCTTCAGAATGTGCACCCTCACATGCACTGCTGAGATTAGGAGGCATTTCTGCAGAATAACTGTGTTTTTGGACGTTATTGAGGGGGGGTCATCATGAGGAAGAAAGGTTTTCCTGCTTGTTGAATTGAATACACTGAAAGAAGCACAAACATTATAACACTTCTGTTGTCTGAAAGATTAAATTATGAAAACATGACAGCAGGCTGACAGAGAAACGGACTCATGAAGCTACAGACTGATATTAGGTTGAAAATGCCTCCTCCTCATCTTTGTAAATAAACCTGATTTTCACACCTTATAATGTCAAACTTCAACTTAAAGTTTTAAATCCATGCTGTGGCAGAGGGCTGGCCTGTGGTCCTCTGCTGGGATTTAACCAACAACCAAGCATTGAGCCTCAGCTTCCAACTAGAACATCCAATCAGAGACTCTTCCTATCAGAACCCAACAAATAAAGCAGGGATGGGGGAGAAAACCGGAGAACAAGCTTTTAAGCAGGAAGCATGTTGATGGTCAGTGTGGTTTGAAACTTGGTTTTTGCAGAATCTGTGAAAATTATTTTATCAAATGTAAATATCAGTTCAGATGATTAAAATTCATACATTAGAGAAATTATTCTGAACATTTTGGAGATAAAATCACAGAAATAGAGAAAATCAGAAATGCGGATTCTTTTTCGGATGGATGGATGGATGGATGGATGGATGGATGGATGGATGGATGGATGGATGGATGGACAGACGGGCGGATGGATGGATGGATGGACGGACGGACGGGTGA